TTGGGTCAGTACGACCTTTTGTATGGGCTGGCGACAGTGGCTCTTACACATTAGGTCGGTGCGACCTTTTATAGGCTTTATTTTTCCCCATTAAGGACTTTTTGAAATTGTGTTTTCCTAACTCTTCGATGGTTCGATACGAACCTCGGTTGTGAGTCTTTATATGGCGATGATCGAGCACCTCGGGAGGTATGGCTCAGTGTCTTAGTATCTTGAAGCCTGTGTTTAGGAGCTGACATGGTCGATGCTTTTTTGCCTATGTCGAGGGTAGCCTATTTAACCAGTTCTTTCCGAAGTATAGTCAAAGTAATTAAAGGCCTGTGATTTTATAGCGACGGTCGGGCGTACCCGAGTCACGTTAGTTTGGCTAGTACAGCCTTGTGATCGTAGTCATTTGTGTTTGGCCGGAGACTTTCAGTCCCAAGTGAAGTAGTTTATGCGTCTATATCGAGGGTATGCCTTTTTAGGGGTCTTATAAGTTCGATATATAGCCTAAACTTTGTGATCAGGTTTATGCCTTTAGTAAGCTCTTACAAGTTTTACATGCCTTGGAGGTCTTTCAGTTTTGGATACTTCGTACAAGTATGGTTCATTCCTTCCTTGAGGTTTTACATATATTATCACTTGGTACAAGTGTGGTTTATGCCTTTCTTGAGGTCTTACATATATTATTGTTGCCATAAATAGGTCTTACGAGACCGAGGCTGCCCGCATATGGTCTTACGGCCTCTGGTTTTGATAAGTTGACAAAGATGGTGATTGACGACAGTCCCCGAGTCATCGAGGATTTCTCAGTTCGGGAGCCATTACTTGTAAACTTGTTGTTGCCTCATTGAGGACTTACAATTTCGGAGTTTCCGATCCGGAGGTCATGTGGCCTTAAGTTTACGACGCCAGTCCTCGGGTGTTCGGGACGTTTTTGGCTCTAGAGCTATTTTGTGATCTTGTGGTTGCCTCATTGAGGGCTTATGAGTTCGAATCTCGAACCCGGGGGTCATACTGTCTCGAGTTGTTGACGCCAGTCCCCGAGTATTCGGGACATTTTTTGGCTCTGGGCCGTTTTTTGCAAAAAATATCGAGCTTCCTTGAAACGCAAAATGCTTTTTGGGAAGTATTCTTTGATCACTTCGTACAAGTATACATGCCTTCGCTGTTAAGGGCTCAGTTGTTCTATACAGACATAGTTTGTTCGACCAATCGGCCCGGTACATTATTTTCCTATCGAGACCCCTTTTGGCGCATCTTGGCTTCTCCGAGTAGGTGACCTTCTAGGGGGATGTCCCCCAGTATTCGAGGTTGATTTCAAAATAAGCCTTGAATACTTGTTTAGTCTTCCTTAGGTAGAATATGGATCTCGACTCGTTAAAAACCTTGCCGGTAAAACCTTTTTGGGATAAAAACCCGATCGAAGGAAAATAGTGCAACGCTTGCTTTTGAAACCTAAGGCCTTCGAGGTAGAGAGTTCTTTGGCCGTTTTGATCGGACACATGTATTCAGGTTAGTGTAGAATGTAATTGAAAGAGAAAGGAGACGGTCATACCTTATGTCGGCGGTGTTTCGAGCCTTGATTTGTTTCAGCCGCTTGTGATGAGGACGCGGTACAGTCCCCTGCTTTATTTAGTTGGGGATAGCTAAGAGTGTAGCTTGTTATCGCTATTTTACTGTTTTCTTATCCTTCGGCTCCTTCAAAGGTGGAGGTACCGGTGTCAGGGCCACATCGTGTACCGCGAACATTTATCTCGCCGCATATTGTTCCTCGAAGACGGTTTTAATTCCATCCTTTGTCCAAAATTTTGTCATTTGATGGAGGGTGGATGGTACTGCTCTCATGAAGTGTATCCATGGTCTTCCGAGCAAGGCGTTGTACCTCATGTCTCCTTCGATGACATGGAATTCGGCATTTTGGGTTGTGCCGGCCACGTTGACTGGGAGGGTGATTTCCCCTTTCGTTGTTTTGTTCGCCATGTTGAATCTGTTGAGGACTCGAGAGGCAGGTATGATTTGGTCAAGCAGTCTGAGCTGCTCTACCACCGTCGACCTGATAATGTTAGCCGAGCTACCTGGATCCACAAATACACGTTTAATTTGAAATGTATTTACAAGAAAGAGATTACCAGGTCTAGATGTCCTTGTCGCTGAATGTGAGAGCATCCTCGGGTATGTATCCCCGAGTTCGCTTTTCTCTAGTGATGGATATTTTTGTTCTTCTCATCACGGGCTCCTGTGGGGCATCGATGCCTCCCAAGATCAAGTGGATGACATGTTGTGGCTCATGCGTATCGTTCTTCTCGGCCGCCTCTCTTTCCCGTAAATGATTTTTGGCCCAGTCGCTGAGGAACACTCGGAGGTGACCTTTACTGAGTAGTCTGGCTACTTCTTCTCGGAGCTGGTGGTAGTCATCGGTCCTGTGGCGGTGCGTGTTGTGGAATTCACACACTATGAGCACCTAATTTTTGTCATACATGAAAATAACTCCTAAAAATAGACCAAAAATAATTTTAATTGATTTTTAGGAGTTTTTTTTATTTAGTTGCATTCCATGCATTTTTGATATTTTAAAATCATAAAAATTGTCATGTTTTAATTTCATGGCATCTTAGGTTCAATTTGCATGTAGGAATTAATTTTATTAAGCAAAAATTAAAAATCACAAAAATGGTCATATTTAGATTTTAGCCTTTAAAGTTAGTATTTTTCTTTAATTTTAAGTTAATTAGTTGTTTTAATGTTAAAAATAAATAAAGAATTTTGTTTCTACAAAAATAGATTGATTTAAGATTTTAATTAATTAAAGAAAAGAAAAGAAAAAGGAAAAAAACAAAGAAAGGGAAAATAAGAAGAATATATTTTTGGTCTTGTCTCTTTTAAAATTGGGCCGATTTCTAAAATGGCCCAATTAATTTTTAAGACCCAAATTCCGTCAAGCCCATTACCCCATCCTTAACCCTAGACCCCTTACCATAAATACACACATTAGGAAACCTAGGAAAAAATGACCATCAGATCCTAGACCCCTACACAACAAAAACAGTAGCTTCTTCTATTCCAAAATTCCGAAGACTAAAAAATAAAAATAAAATAAAAAAGGACCAAACAATTCCTAAAACTGGAAGCGGCCGACCTTCAAGAGAAAAGCTTTTAACCTCCTTGCTCTTTTGGACAAACAAGAACGCAGAAAGGATACACACACACATATACAATGAGAAAAAAGGAAACGACTGACCAAAAATAAGAGCTTTAATATCCAAAAATCAGCAGCCAGACCCCACCCTTTCTTCATCAAGACCGGCGACCCCCATCTCCCTGAACCTGAGCAGCCGTTCCCAACTCTATAACAAAAACAGAGCCTCACCCCCACTTCCCTTAAGAAGAATCGGCCAGAACCTAACAGAGAGAGAACCAGCGCCTTCCTCCCTTTCTGGTGATTTCATCTTCTTCTTGCTCTCAACCAAAAAAGAGACACACACACACACAACGGTCGAGGTTGCTAGTTCGAGGTTCTGTTAGAATTTTCTTCCGGTCAGTTTGGTGTTGCATGGTTTCGTTTTATTCTGGAAGAACGATCATTGAGGTGTATCCATTTCATGAAGAAGTTTGTCTTATCAATCTATTGACAGAATTTCCATATCAAAGGTTCATTTCCTTTAATTTATTTTGATTCATTTCCTTGAATCCATTGTTTTCCTTACATGAATGCTTCTATTATTTTTAGTTTTTTTTGTTTAAATATTTTATTATGTGATTTTGTTTGCTTGATTCATATCAATTCTATCAGCAATTAAAGAAATAAATTTTCTCCATATGTGTTGTTTGCTGGGTTAAGTGAGAAAGAAACTAAGTACTAGATATGGAAATAGTGGGCTGTAGCATGCTAGAGTCGATTCATTAAGTTGACGGGTTTTGTTTATTGGGATGTTGTGTAATCTTGAAGTTGGAAATGAGATACTTACCCAATGGGTTTAGTCTGCCGGCCCAATAACTCTAGTATTTATTAAGTTCCAGGAAGATTTTTTCATGAGGGAAATTTGAAAAACACTAAGTTGGGGTGAGTGAAAACTTGAGCATTAGGGTTTCTTATATAGAAGTTGAAGTTCCCTAAGCTGAGTTATAACTCCAATATTCTATTATCAAGTTGGTCTATTTTAATTAGAATCCTAGTTCTCTCGAAGTTTCCTTCATTAAAAACCATGTGGATGGACTACTAAAATGACACTCAGCTCAGTTTGCTATTAAATGGCATGTCTTTTTCTTAATTATATTATTATATATGAAGAACACAAGATCAATTAATATCAAATAATCTTCATCCCTCAGCATTCCCTTCATTTATTTGAATTGGTTTATTCTAGCATTTAAAAGATAATTCTTGCATTTTTTTGGGTAAAAAGATGAATATATGGCTCATAACGTCAAAACCAAATATCGCTCGGTAAATAATTGCACCGTAGTTTGCTTTTAGGCACGCTTTTAATCTATCATCGTGATTATGAATACGTTCGCGTAAAAGTTATGATTTTTCTAAAATAAATCAAGGTATGCGTTCGCGTAACTTCAACCAAACTTTCTTATAAATTAATAAAGCATGATTAATTGTGGACACATACGCGTGACATGTTTTTTAACGCGGCAAACAAAATGAGTACATGTACTTGTGACTCCATTCTTTAATTATGAATAAATCAAGCAACTAAAAGTGGTTAAAGGCATAAATGCACAAAGGTCCTAAAATGAGTAATTAAATAATTTATTTAAGCCAAGTATAAATTGATATGCGACCGTGCTAGAACCACGGAACCCGGAAATGCCTAATATCTTCTCCCGGGTTAACATAATTCCTTATCTAGAATTTCTAGTTCGCAGACTTTTAAATAAATTCGAAAATTTCCTCGATTTGGGATTTAAAAATAAACCGGTGACTTGGGACACCAAAAATAAATTATTCCAAGTGGCGAGTCTAAAAAATTAAATAAAATAATTCCATTTCGACTAATGTCACTTTAATTGGAAAAAACTCCTTTATGCCCCCTCGTATGGTAAAAAGGAGGTGTGGCACACACTAAGTTATGACTTCTTTGCGAAGGATTTGATTGCACAGGCCTGGGCCACCTCGCGTCTCTGATTTTACTAATGGCGAACACGATGTCTGATACATCGATGTTGCAGTTGTAATCCGAAAGTGAGGTACCTTCGTTGGCCCTGTGTGCCTATCGAATCCAGCTCTGTTGATGAGTCCTCGAGGATTTCGACCTCGGTCCATTCTTTGATCATTGTGGGGTATGTTACGCCTCGGGGCATTTCTCCTGTCTTCGGTGTATGGCTGGTACCTTTCTTTGTTTGGCTTTGGCTCCATCGCCAGAAGCCTGCTTGGGTATATCGAGCTTGAGGGGGCTCCTAGTTGGTCGTCCTCGACCTTGAGTTTCGATTGATATCGATTGTGAACGTCCGACCAGGTCACGACGGGATATTCAACCAGATTCTATTTCAACTTCTTCGAAGCCACCGAGCTTCATTCATTCAGGCCTTGAGTGAAGGCCTGCACCGCCTAGTCGTCGGAGATTGGTGGTAGTTCAATTCGTTCTATTCAAAAGCAAGATACGAACTCTCACGGCATCTCATTCTCCCTTTGCTTGATCTTGAAGACGACAGACTTCATTGTTGCTACTTTTATGGCACCAGCATGTGCCTTTATGAAAGAATCTACCACCATGGCAAATGCGTCTATGGAGTTAGGAGCTAGGTTATGATACCACATCATGGCCCCTTTCGAGAGCGTTTTTTCGAACTCTTTCAGTAAGACAGACTCGATTTTGTCGTCCTTTAGGTCGTTGCCTATTTACCGTGAAAATGGTAAAAACAATTAAATTTGTAAATGGGATTCTAAAATATGTGATCTATTTTTATGCTAATTGTTAGTGCAGTTTATGTGAAGGGTATGAAGTTCAATGAAGAAATAGAAGCTAAAACGAGGCAGTAGTCAAACCGAGATGCTTACATCCCGAGCCTCGGACTGGTCAATGAAGGACCTTGATGCTGATATCTGGCTCGAGCTCGAGCTATCAGGGGTAGTCGAGGATCGGATAACAATTGAGATATGATCAAACAAGGCTCTTTATGGCCAATATCATGCAATGAATTAAGAATAAGTATGAAATCAATAAACGCTAAGAGTGGCCTCGAGCTAGTAGGAACGAGTAAGTTAGAGAGAAGATAATAGAGAGAGAGATATTATTGATCTTGTGGAGAATGGTTGGAGCAACATCATCCCTTTACAAAGTACTGTGGGTTCCCTTTGTATAGGAAGGGAACCCGAATATAGTACAACATACGTTAATTATAAAGTATGGAGATGGGACGGCTTAGACTTGATGCTTCGGCATAGGCCCTGGATAGGTCGGCCCTGTTAGATTTAGTTGCGTGCCTTGGGAACTTCCTCTTTTGCTCTAGCCCCGACCTTCATCTTCTTTGAGTCAGGCCTCGACGAGCCCCGAGTGAGGGGACTCGGTCGCGGCTCCATGCCCTTGGGGCCTCGAGTTATTCTTCCGAAGTGGCTTGATAGCGAGAAATTAAGTCCTCTGATTTTCCACATACAGATAGTCTCCGCATTTCCCAGAACGAAGCGATGGGAAATGATTCTAACACTTGACTCCACGAGCTTCTTACCGTGACGTCATACCAATGATGCAACCTGTGGCGTGAGCCTTTTTGGCCACCGGGGTGTCCCATGGACTTGTGTATTTGACATCATTCAATGCACTATCGATTCCCGTTCTCCAAGATGAATGCTCTACCGTCGATTTGGTTCTTTAAGAATGCAGTAATTGCGTCTGCCGGTTAATCTTCCGAAACCTCGATGATCGTGTCATTACCCGATGTAAATGGGGGTGCGTTGGCATTGGTATTTCTATCCAAGTACCTTCGTTAGCTCATTTGCCCATTTCTTCTTATCATCTTCCTCTATCCTTGAACATTTTGCTTGGGGCTCATGGCCTCAAGGCCGTTCGGTAGAGCTCCCGTAGGCTGTGTTGCGGCCTCTTGTCGGAGCTTCCCTTTGCCGAGCACGACCGTGCTGTTGCGTTGCTGTTGTGGTTTTTGTTATGTTTGTTGTTGCTGTTGTCGTTTGCCCGAGCTAGTAATAGACGGGGAATCGATTCTCCCTTTTTGTAGACAGTCTTTCGGACTATGCACTGTTGCTCACTCTACTACCTAGGCCTGGTGTGTCACTTCATCCCTTGGGTTTTTCCTTTCCCAAGGGATAAAATGGCACTACCGGCCGTCGAGGCTGGGGCCCACCGAATCTTCGACCTTTGGCTTTAACGGGCCATGTCCCTTTTCTCTGCCTCCTCTGCATCCCCCCTTTTCCTCTTCTTTATCTTTTCCCTTGGTGGGAACCCTTCCCGGGATCGAGCTGGGAACCTAGAGGAGATGGTGGTTGAAGGAATCACCCCCGAAGATGCGAGCTTCGAGGGGCCGGCGCTCGAGGATGCTGATACCAGAGATGGACCTTCAAGGACGGACCAGGTTCTTGAGTTTCATCACATGTACATCCTTCCATTCCTTTGTTTCTGTGTAGAGATCCTCTATAGGCTTTTGTAATTGTACATGGATATTTATGAATATGAAGATACTTCATTGATTTCTGTTTTCGATTCTTGCCCTATTATTGTATGCTCTCGTGCCCTTCGAGGCCTTTGAATGTTTTTTTTTTGTTGTTGACCGCTGATATCTAACTTGGATGCGAGGTTTCTGTCCGATCCTCTGCCGATCGACGTGGATCTTTTCCAAGTCCATCGTCGTACCTCGGACCAAGCTTGAATTGATCCGATAGGCTCGGGCTGTTGATAACAGGATAAATCTAGGTAATTTGGCGATTGTTCACGCCTCCACTTGTTTATATTTCAATATCATAATATGGTTAATTGATGAAAAATGGGCTCTAATTGTGAGTTGTATACATTTCAGGTTGAGGAGCCTAGGTGATACCTTAAAAGTGTGATTGGAACCATTTTGGAGCAAGAAAGATTTATCAGAGCTGAGTATGCTTGAAGACGAGGAAAAGAAACGACGAAACAGGAAGCTGGACATGCGCGCCCAGATGCGCGCCCGCGCTACTTTTAGCGCGTCCAAGACAGAAGCCTCGCCAACTAGCGCGGCCACATGCGCGCCCAGGTGCGCGGTCGCGCTAGTCCAAATTTCGGGAAGAATTATTTGGGGGAAAAATTGGAAATCTGGAGGGAAACCCACTTAACCTATATAAATTCAAGCTCGCCCAAGGAAAAGAGGGGAGGTTTTTGAGAGTCTAGTGCAAGAAATAGAGAGGCGAGACGCAAGGAGGAGTTTTGACCATCAAGTTCTTATTTTCTTCTCTTTGTTTTTGCTATTTGTGATGAAATTGAACTTATTTGTGATGAACACTAGTATGAGTGGCTAAAACCCATTATTCTGGGGTCATGGGTAAAATATAAATGTTGTTGTTTGGAGTTTAATTTGACAAAGTTGGTTTATCATATTGGGTTGTTTATTTACTTCTGCGTTTAATTATTTTGCTAAGTAGCTAACAGTGAAATACTATCTACGAATCTTTAGTTGAACTCGAGAGTGGGAACTTTAGATTGCTTATAGAATTAAATAGAGCAAGTTCTTCAACCCGGGCCTCGGGGAACAGATTAGCAATTGGGATAGACATATACCCAATTGCCTTGTTTGGTTGAAATATTGGAAGTGTAAATGCATTTTCGTTAATCTTAATTCCATAGACATATAGGCATTGGGTTAACTTGAATAGGCGAGTAAGAACTCGACAGATTCTTATGAGTAATATCAACCATGTCAATCAATAACCTAGATAAATCGACTAGTCATTTTAAGACAAGAACATAACACGATTGTTAATTAGCCTGTGGCCCTGGAATATCCTCTCCTACTGTTTGTTACTTGAAACTGTTATTTGTTTGGTTAATTGTTCTAGTTGGATTAATTCTTGATAGTTTAGGTAGTAAAACAATTACATCTCTAATTTGTGAAAAACCACTTGGATAGATAAAGTAATTGGGTTTGAACCGGTCAATAGTTAATCACAAGTCTTCGTGGGAATGATACTCTACTCACTACTCTATTACTTGATGATCACGTGCACTTGCGTGAGGGTTTTTGGTCGCAACAAGTTTTTGGCGCCGTTTTTGGCACATTCAACATCGAGAGTTCGAGCCAGGGCAAAAAGTTCTTTTGTTCAATTCGAGGTTAAAGTTTTTTTCTCGGAAAGCTTAAATCTCGGTGGTCAGGCCCTTTTGTTGTGGTAAGTGTGAAGCCTAATGGAGCTGTGGAATTGCTGGATATGAGTTCAACTGGTACTTTCTTGGTGAATGGTCAAAGGATAAAACCCTACTGGGGCGGTGACTTTGCACATCAAAAGACCTCGGTGGATTTGACGGATGCGTGAGGACGTGTTGAGTCGTGCCGCGACGTTAAATCAGGCACTGGATGGGAGGCAACCCATTGAATTATTATAACTGTCATGCCGCAAAATTGAATCAGGCGCTGGTTGGGAGGCAACCCAACGATAGTAGTAGTGTTAATTTTGTATTTTAGGACGAACTAACCAATGCAAGTGACAAAGGGTATGTGCTAAGGCACATGAACGAGGTAAGAATAGGTGAAAAGTTGAAGAAACAAATTGCCCAGATGTGCGCTCGCGCACTTGGACGCGCTACCGGGCGCGCTAAATTTCACAGCTTCTGCCTTGGCCGCGCTAAAATGAGCACGCTCGCGCACCTGGACGCGCTACTAGCGCGACCGTGCACCTGGGCGCGCACTTGGGTGCGCTAGTTTCCTGACGTTTCTGTGTTGGACGCGCTAAAACTAGTGCGGGCGCGCACCTGGGTGCGCTAGTCCGTCGAAAACCCGGCGTTTAAAGAGTCTTTTAATTGTTTTTCATTTTTCTTTCTTTTTTCTAATTACTCCCCCCACATCTAATAAAACCACTCCCAAACCCCCATCCAATAAAACCATCTTCCCATACCCTTCCCTCTTCTAACAACTCCCAAACCCTCACCTCCCCATCTCACGACCCCCCCCCCCCC